CAGATTTTTGGTCACTATCTCCTTCCCTTCACTAGATTAGCAAGTCTAGTCTCACTTGATTAAACATCCCATGAAATAAATGTTTTCATAAATACATTTATATGTACATACAAAATATTTCTGCATTTATTTGTCCATGCATAAATGCTGCTAGCAGGTTATGAAGAGAACAGACACTTTGTGTGTGTTGTTATGCACTTGTGCAATAAAAGAGAAAGAGAGGAATGTAAAAACTTCGAGTACTAAATAATTCTCTTTTTGTTTGTGAGTATTGCCTTCAATTCTTTATCTTCTTTATGCTTTGCTGGTAGTGTTATCTTTCTGTCTGATTTTTTCAGATGATACAAGTTGTTTTGTTTTTTGTTTCATTTGTTTGTTTTTAAGTATCATTGAAGTGAGAAGCAGAAAGCAGTCATGCATATGCCTGGCCAATTTGACAGTGTTGGTTTATTCTTCTTGTAGAGATGGTGTTGAAATGTTTTGAAAAGCCTGGCCCTGTAGAGGGTTTCAAAACACAGGAGTTAAAGAGATGCAACAACTGCCATGTCCTTTTCTTCTAGAAATATAAATGTACATAAAAATGATAATTGCAAAATCAACATGCAGTGTTGTAAGCAAATTTGAACTGGAATACTGAACAATGCTATCAAAAAATGAATTTTACAATCCATAGATTTATTTTGTTTTAAAGCTTGATTTCCTTTGAGGGAAAAATGGTTTTCATATATCTAAATATTTTGAGGAATATATGCATCTGTTACTTAATGTTATTGAGATAGCAGTCTCTTTTGGTAGGAGGATGTGACACGTTATGTTTTGTTTAATTTTTTTGTAAGAAATTCAATTTATAAGAATTCTCTGGGACATTTCTGTTTGTATACCATTATTCTGCGTTAATTTATTTTCCTAAACTAGTAGTTATTGTCAGTGGGAGAGAATAGTAACTATGCACAAGAACTATTCTTTTCAAGTTTTTTTTCATTGTCCAATCCCTACTAAAATAAACTGTCTTTCCATAGTGAAAGAAATGTTTTCAGATACATTTTTTTGTTGGGAAGGAAAAAAATTAAAAGAACATTATGTTCCATAATTTGAAAGTTTTATTTTTGGTGTTAAATGCTAAGGTGGAGGAAAATAAAAATGTAAAAGTATGGTTTGCAACACTATAAAATTTAATTTTTTTTTTTTTTTTTTCCTGTCTATATACACTGAGTGGACAAATAGTCTGAATTTTATAAGCATGGAAAGCATTTTATTCTGAAAATTGTCAATAGTTCTGATCCTTTGAAATTAATTATCAGTATTTAATAAGGTATATTTTAAATCCTCAAAGCTTGGACTTTCTTATAGCAGTCACAGAAGATTGACTATACACTTGTGGATACATGAAAGTAGTGATCAGGAGATAGCACGAAGTGAAGTGGCTGTTACTGCACGTCCTTAGGTTTGACTGTGTACTCCAAATCATAGAGATTTAATACAAGAGTTTTTTTTGTTTGATTGTTTCTTTGCATGTTTTTCTTCTCTATACAATATCCACAGTGCCTTTTTTTGCGTTATACCATTCTGTTGCCAGAAACAGTAAACTCATTAATAACTACCCTTTCCTATATACTTCCTTAAAGTAGAATAGAGTAAGTCATTATATTTTGCTTCATAGTCTTTCCCTGGCTCTCAAAAAGCTCCTGGAGTCCTACCAGATTTTGTTAGGTTCAGAATCAGAGGCTTTATAAAAATGAATGCTGCCACATGTAATGGGCAGCAATTATTTTGTACACTTTTGAATTTACATAATTGGCCCTCAGTTTTTAATTTGATGCTTTAGATTAAATCTGATCTGGGGGAATCAATGAAAGGTGAGACAAAGTCTAGGCAGCTTCAGTGGTTAGAAGTCAACAGCTTTGACTGCATGCCAACTGACATCCAGGTTCACTTTTTATGTTTCACATATTTTTTATTTTCTAACCTTTTACCAAAACATTGCTACATCAAGCTTTGATAGTGGGAGGAAAGAATTAGTATGCTTAATAAATCATTGCTTGTTACCCTACATTGTACTTTTAAGAAGTTCAAAGTAACAGATGAAAAGTATAAGCAACAAAAATAGATATTTTACACAATTTCTGTCAAGGTTTCAGCTGCTGTGCCCGTTGCTCTGACAGCCTTCATTGCCACTGATTTAAGTCAAGTCATTGGTGGAGGGTAAAAGCCCATGGATGAATGTATACAACACAGAATGATGCATCTAAGCTATCTATTATTCAAGCTCACTGTTTACAATATTAATGTGGGACATTTTGTGTTTCCCACAAAATAATCTTTGCCTTTTTTGTATTTAGAAATAAGATGTTCGTGATGAATAAATACAGCAGTTAAACTGAATGTTAGCAATAAACTGCATGCAGTTAACAGAGATTTCCCTTTCCTCTCTTAATAATGGAATTAAATGTATGCTGTGGGTGTCTGTATGTTAAAAAAACAAATACAGCTCTCAGTGTAATTTTATCTATATATAGCTTGTGTGTGTGTGGTGTTATTTTTCCTATATTATTTGTCACGTGAAAGCTGATATGCAATGATCAGTTAAGTTGAGGGAAGTTTTATGGAAAGTCACCAACCCATCCAATAAAAAAACCCAGATGTGTGGAGCCTTACAATGTCCATTTCCATTTTATAATGTAAATCAATCCTTGAGATGTCTGTGGTTCCTAACACAAGGCCCTCTAGACAATGTGTAATGTAATGACTTTTGGTAGCAATAGTGACAGAAAGCAAAGACCAGAATTAGAAATCATGATATCAGGAGATTGCAGGACTGATGGTGCCTGCTGATTCTTCATTGATTGCACAAAGGCCCCTGGCATATGTGCTGCACAATCCACACTGCACCCTCTGGTTATGAAATGTAGCTTTTTGTTACAAGTAAATGCCTTCTTACAATATTTATTTTTTTAATTACATGTACAACTAATATTGAAGGGTCTTTCAGGGAATCTCTTATGTCATGTTTTTATTTTATTTTTTTCCAATTGGCTCAATCTATCCTGCTTGAAGTAAGTCTGAAAGAACAGTAGGTGTTTGATCTTGCTCTGATTAAAGTCAGTGCAAAATTGGATTTGAATTTAAAGGCACAAGTTCAGTCTATTGACAGGAAAAAAAAGGAAAAAGAAAAAAGGAAAAAGAAAAAAGAAAAAAGAAAGCCTTTCCAACACATTTAGGATATTTCCAGTATGGAATGGGAACTCAGAAAATGAAAGCTTACAATTGTTTACTCACACTTTTATTTTGCTAGACATTTGTTAAACAACCACAAACTTCTTTGACATGTCATTATTCACTGTAAATTTTGAGTTTAGAGAAACGAAAAGCTAGGAGCAGTAAATTAGGTCATTATTCTGTAATTCTTACTATTCTTTAAGTTCTACCTCAATATTACTTCTGGAATTTACATTCAAATTCTGTTTTTAAAATCTTGATATATAAACTGCCAATGATTCACTTTGGTACTGGGTAGTCTGTAAGTACTCAGTATTCTTTAAGTCAGGTTTATATAACTAAAATCTGCGGCTTCACTGTGAATGCAATGTGAATACACCAGAAGCAAACTGGCTGAAAAAAATATTTTGTTGTCAGATCTGTGAATCCCAACTTTAGGCAAAAAGCGGTGACCTTTGTGAGCAGTCCATGTGAGAAGATGTATCATCCCACAGCTGGATTTTAGGAATGCATAGCATGGACTGACTATACAGAATTCAGCGTGATGCACCACCAATCACAATTCCTATTTGGAGGCAAATGAAAGCAGAGGAGCCTGCTTTCTATTTAACCCACCTTCCATATTCTTAATAGGAATATATATATATATATATGTATATATAAGGAAGGGAATTAAGTTTTGAGCTGTAGTCTTTACAGAGATATTTAACTCTAGTATGCAGCTGCAGTCTAGACTAGGAGAAAAAGATGCTTCTCATGGGTGTTATTGGTCAGTGCAGCTCTTCTCCTCTATTACTACAACTTTCTGCATGTCCCAGCACACAGTTATGGATTTCGTTTCAAGAAGATTGGGTTATAACAGAAATTCGTTGTGCAGCCTCTTCAGTAAGTCCATCTTGGAGCGTGAGTCTAGGTGCTTAACATCCTCAATGGTCCTTGCAGAGATCCACTGCATATTTAAAAAAACAATGTCTCATTTAACAGGTTATATATTTATTTTTCAGTGCTACCTAAAGATGAGGTAAAATAGCATTAGAAAGCTTTTGAACAGAATGAAATGAAAAAAGAGAGAAACACAGGAATGTTTGTTTCTTTTTATAATTAGAGAGCCTAAGATCCCTGCAATGTACTCAAACATATACCCCCCAAACAACATTTCATTCTTAAGTAACACTTATCTTGAAAAAAAGCTGAAATAAAGAGCTAACCACTCTGAAGATTGGCAATGCACTTATATTGTAGTGATTCGTCTGAGACATATAATTGATTGGAAATTACAAGGTGTACTATTCTGCCCCATAGCTGCAGCTAACACTGCAGCATACAGAGGGTCTGAAATCACTGTCTGTAACTTCCATTAGGTCAGTAGCAATTTTTCAAATCTTGTGTTAAGAGACTCAGGGTGCACAGCTTCAGTTCTACTTATGTTTTGTTATATTTTGTTATCATGTGAAGCTTCATGATTCTTTCCCTTGGAATCAAGTGCTTCCTTGGTCTATTTATACAGGTCATGCTGTGTAATCCACAAAGATTCTGTTGTCTTTGTTTCTGTGAGGAAAATATAAATTAGTTTATTGTGAAGACAAAGTACAGCTCAGCACCCCACATAAGATGCTTTCTGAATTGAAAGCAGTAACTATTCTATATTTACAACACTGGCAGGGTACTTTTAAAGCTGGATTGCTGCCTGGGTTATTGAACCCCAGAATGCTAACATGAAATCCACAAAAGCTTTACAGTGATTTTCATACAATTTCAAATTATGCCTGAAGAAAGATGGACAGCTGTAACTCATAAACATTGTATGAGCAGATGAATTTCAAGGTCAAATTTTGTTCTGGAGTACAGCAGTAAGATTGATTTTTATTTTATTTTTAAATCTACCTGAAGATTACAAAATAATGAAATTTTGTTTTCAAGTTCATGCACAAGTGTCCATACTGTAAAAGGATCTTGTTAGAAGTCTTTTTCTTTTTTTTTTCACATATAGTATGGATTTCTCAGGCTATATCAATGAACATGAGTAGGAGAAGTGAACGTTTGTAATCTTGAATGAAAGGAATACATGACCAATTTTCCTACAAGATTTTATTTGTGAAATTTAAATCAATTGTGCAGAATAAATTTACAACTCTATCAACTTGCTGTATCCTGAAAATTGTGTATTTTTATAAAATGATAGGAATTTAATAGCAAAAAAAGAAGTCTATTTAACCCTTTAATAGAAAGGTTACTCTGAAAATAACATCTATTTCAATGGAAGCTACAAAAGATACATAGAGCATGACAACACTATCTGGCAGAGCAAATTCTCAATTGCAAATCACTAGTTCTCAACAAAGCCACCACCATTAGCTATGCATTTTCACCAGTGATGAACAAGAACCTGTATGCTGTACCCATAAAAATCTGCACCAGTGGAGGTGACCCATTGTCACTGTCACCGCTGCTGAAACACACGATGGACCACTTCAATGTGCTCACATCCACTGTTTAGTTTCCATAAATATTCCATAAGCAAATGTCAATGAATGTCAATGGGTGCCATTTTTTCTGCATGGAGGAATTCAATGACATACGTCTGTGTGTACACATGTCTATGTCAGACACCATTTTGTCTGATTGACTCTCAGCTGCCATTGGTTGCATGGCAACAAAATGTAAAGGAATATTGGTGAGAAGATTCAGCCTCTACTGCCATACTACCAACATCTGCTTTTGACACTGTAGGCCAAATTAGTAAAACATGAACTATTACTTTTGAAGCAGCCCTCATGTAATTCTAGATAATAAATTATGTTATCACATTCTGATACTTCTGGAATCTTATATTAAATAAGTTGAGCTCAGCTTATGTCCAGAAAATAAGCTCTTACTTTCTGGCCCTTTATACTTGCAAACTCCCGCTAGGTAAAGTGCATGAGTTTAAGGACTAAAATATTCCTTTATCCTTCAGTTCCCATTTTAGGATTTTTAAATCAGATGCTTGATCCACCTGTTCCGGGTTTAGCATAGGATCTGGAAAAGAAGGGATATTCAAGGACAGATTTTCAACTTACTTGATCTATCAGCTAATTATGAAACCAAATTACGTTAACAAAGACAAGAGGAATTGCTTTGCTGTCGGGGTTTGAAAGGTGATTGGTTGTCATTTTATATCATTTAGTGTTCTGAGGAGGTGAAGCTAATTTCTTTTCCATGATATCTAGAAAACTAAGGATGGGCTTCCTCTTTTCTACCTTTCTGTATCTGAAAAATATTTGTATATTCTAAAATAGTTATCACAAGTGTTCTCTATAACAGGTTTAAATCTTCACAGAATGTTTCTTTCTTCTGCTTAGTTAGCTCTTGAGAACTGAAGTGAGGTGCTATACTGGAGTACCCATTTGCAGCACTTGTAAGCCCAAAATTTGAATGTCTAAAGTCTTAGCCTGGAAAAAATATTTTAAAACCATGAATAGTAAATGCAGTGTACTTAATTTTATCAATGACAACAGAGTTGGTAATGTGTGAGAGCTAAGTTTGGAAATAGCAGAAAAATTAAACCAAGGCAAATACTGGCCTCTAAGCCTTTCTTAAAACAATATGTGGTTTGGCAAGATGTATTCCTAGCTATTATATGATAGTATTTCTAGTGTCATTGATGTTATTTATTGAGGTTTCCAATTTGTCAATCATGACTTAATGCTTTGAAAATATATTTGTCAGCAAAATTTGTGAAATCTGATCTGAATATAGACTCTTCAATTCCCAAAAGATATAGATATATTGGATACGTTGAGGAAAGTGGGGGGAAAAAAGGCTTGACACTAAATGAAACATCAATATAAATAAGTATAAGTACTTTGTGATAAATGGATATGCAAAATGTAGCCCCTAAAAAGGCTTTTTTTGGACATCCTTGAAAAATACAATTATTTGACTTCTATACAGAGAGGCATTTACACAGTAATTTATTTTCAGAGGGAATTTTATATGGATTTCACTGGAAGTATCAACACGGTGAGTACTGATATTTTTACAATGGGTGTTACAGGTGACTGAAGGAAATAAAAAATCAACAATGAAAGTATCAGTTCTTCAAATATTCATAGAATCACAGAATTGTTTGAGTTGGAAGAGACCCTTAGAGGTCATCTCGTCCAACTCCCCTGGAGTGACCAGGGACATATACAGCACAATCAGGTGCTCAGAGTCCCATCCAGCCTGACCTTGAATGTCTCCAGAGACGAGGCTTCCACCCCCTCTCTGAGCAATCTGTTCCAGTCCTTCACTATTCTTATCACTAATAATAATAATAATAATAATAATAATAATAAAAAATCCTTGCATGCAATCTAAATCTCCCCTCTTTCAGTTTGAAACCATTTTGCCTCATTCTATCACAGCAAATCCTGCTAAAGAGTCTGCACCCTTCTTTCTTATAGACCCCCTTCAGATACTGAAGGGCCACCATCATGTCTTCCCAGCGCCCAGGTCCCTCAGCCTGTCCTTATAGGGAAATTGTTCCATCCCTGCAATCATTTCTGTGGCATCATTTTTGTGGCCCTCCTCTGGACACACTTGTACAGGTCTATCTCTCCCCTGTACTGAGGACATCTGGACACAGTATTCCAGGTGAGGTCTCTCCAGCAAAAAATGGAGGGGCAGGATCACCTCCCTAACCCAGCTCACCGTGCTTCTTTTGTTGTAGTCCAGATGCAGATGGCTTTCTAGGATGCCAGGAAACATTGCTTTCTCATGTCCAGCTTGCTATCCACAGAACAAAACTGCTTAATGTTTCTGAAGACTATTTAAATAGGAACAAGTGGCAGTTTTCTATTCTGGACTTGTGAATGAATGAACATCAGGTCAGTGATATCAAGTAAATCCCAAGTAACCATCACTGATAAATAGGGAGCCTCCTGGCAGCTACTGTTGTCTACTAGTCAATGGAGCACAACAGCCAAAACACCAAAATCATCTCAGAAGCCAGAGAAAGGCACTGAATAAGTAGGACAAAAACAGACATTTTCTCTATTGAATTGCCCTTTTCAAGTTTTCCAGCACCTGAGACACAGAGCTCTAGCTCCAGACAGAGCAACTTAGTATGAACAAAAGCATGCCCTGTGTTTCAAGCTAGATTCCGTGTGTTAATTGCAACTCATAAGTGAGTTTTTATTGAAAGTAGATTAGCCAAAGTTCTTGAAAATATCCTGTAAAAACGAGATTACTCTAGGAGAAAAACCAGCTATGTGGCTGTTTATATTTGTTTATTATTCTGTGGTGCTTAAAAATAGTAAAAAAAAAAAAAAAAAATTAAAACTGTTGGTGTAACATCACTAATTTTCTTAACAACTTTCGTGAAGTTCTAAGGAATTGCTATGTACAGTCATTAAATATTCTGGTTTTTTTCCTGTGAATCAAGACCCTGTTGGTAAGATCTCTTCCAATCTCTATTACTCCATCTGAGACAAATAAAGCATACTTTCAAAGGAAGAAAAGATCTAAGCTGTGCAGATCCTCGAAGATTAAAATCAACAGCCTCAGTTCCTCTTTGTGCTGCTCTAGTGTTCAGCATAACTTAATATTTGTAAGCACTTCCTCTTAACAAGTGAATTGCACATTTTGTACAACAGAAAAGCTTTAACTGTTCTAAGATGTAGCTTGAGTTTGAAGCCATCATATAGATCCAGTCCATCAGGACAGTAGTATGATGCGTTTTGTCCTCAAATGATTTCAGTAAATTAAAACAAGTAAATCAGTAAAAATATAAATATCTAACTATTTTATGCCTTTCATTTAATAATTGGTTTTTAAACACACCATGCCTATTGTGTTACTTGAAGGAGTACCACATTTAGATGTCTGGGTCTGTCTAGGAGTGGTTCATGTCAACAGCACTCATGCCTGAATCCTTCTGTGTCAGATTTTCTAGTGGAAAGTTTGTTGAAATTGTCCAGAATAAATAGATCAAAGAGATAATATAGCAACGGGGATGATCAGGGGTCTAGAATTTAAGGTTTTTTAAGTAGTAAAATTGTTTACCTACTGACATACAAATAGATTCTTCTGCAACTTGATAGACAAATTCGTAAGTAGCAACTATATTGTATGTCAGTTTACGAAAGCAAAATTATCTATAGGTGAAGGTTTGGGTAATTTCCACTTGGCAGTTCTTTATTTAGAACCTTGTTTTCTCAGGTACTAATTTACTAGATTAAGGCTAGGATATGTCATTCTATGTCATTCTATGTACACTTAATTTCACTTATGAAGCCAGCTTTAGCAAAGAAGTACTTCCAGCAGGAATTTCATCCTTCCAGAGGTACTTAAGTCTGTAGAGAAGACATAAGTCATTGGTCTTCTACCTTTAGTAGGAAAGGCTGAATCCATTAGCTTTTATTATCCATTTATTTTTCAGAGTTTTCTCTCATGTCCAACCTTTTGGCTTGCCTGGACCACATTGAGCAGTGAGGAATTGTCTTGGGCTGGATATAAAAAATATAGTCAATATATAAAAGTAAGAAAACATTTTTAAAATACATTTTTATTAAAGCAATAATGATAATAATAAAATAATAATAAAATAATAATAAAATAATAATAAACTTGTTTAGCTTGGAGAAGAGAAGGCTCCAGAAATACCTCATTGTGGCCTTCACAATTTTAAGGGAGCATATAAATAGGAGAGGATGTGACTGTTTATGAGGGTAGATAGTGAAAGGACAAGGGGAATGGCTTTAAACCAAGATGGGAGGTTTAGGTTAGATATTACAAGGAAGTTTTTCACTCAGAGGGTTGTGATGCACTGAAACAGGTT